TGCCTACTCATAACCTAAAATATGAAGAACAGTTTCCATAATTTCAATAATGGTTTAAAATTACTTTAAACTTCAAACAAATAAAGCTCCACTTGTATGAGCAAATATTATGACCAATATATTAAAAATTGTCTACATTCAGAATGTGATATGTACGTAATACAGACATTAATCCCAGTTGGTGAACTGCAGATGACCTTGACTACACCTTAGAAACAAAGGGATGTAAATATTATAAACTTCAACCCAAAAATTATTTCCTCTCTAATACTAGTCTAATCCAAAAACATTAGAAAGATGTAGAAAAGAATTCTTTATTAAGATACAGTGACTATGTCTCAAATACCATTAAGTAAGAAACAAAACAGCCTAAACTCAAAATAGAAAAGTCTAGTGACTGTAAAATCTCTTCAGGCAATAATTAAAGGACATCTAACCAAAGAATGATCTCTAATTAAACAAATACAAAAATAACCTCCCCAAAACAAAAATCAGTATTCTGAACAATGCTTAAGGAAGTCAGAAAGAAAAGGTAACTTACTACGTAGATGGCCAAATACTCCAGGAAATCTAGATATAGAATTTAAATGTTTGTGACATGGGAGGAGGAGGGGGAGACAAAGGATGTGGATTGTACTATTCAAGTGTGTTCATCCACTCAAGAGAGAATATAAAAATGACATACTTAACTGTGAGTAACCAAGTATAAGTGTACTTATGGCCAGCTTAAAATTAACTATGGCAACTTGAATTTGAACTAAAATAATAAGTAACTTAATTTAATTTAAGTTACCAGAGGTGGTATTCAGCAGGTTCTGACCAGTTCTGGAGAACCGGTAGCGGAAATTTTGAGTAGTTCGGAGAACAGTAAATACCACCTCTGACTGGCCCTGCCCCCATCTATTCCCTGCCTCTCAAGTCCCAGCTGATCAGGAGGAAATGGAGATTTTGCAGTAACCTTCCCCTGCAGTGAGGAGGGAATGGAGATTTTATAGTATCTTTCCCCTGCCACACCCACTAAGCCACGCCCACTGAGCCACACCATGCCCACCAAGCCACCCCACAGAACCAGTAGTAAAAAAAAATTAAATCCCACCATCGGTGATTACTCATGACATACTTAATCTTTCACTTCTACTTCTAATTTGTGATGCAATCATTTGTAATACAAATTAAAATTAGGATTTGGGGAAAATTTTGGGAAGAAATGCTGAGGCCTCAACCAATGGTTTAGAGAGCCATATGTGCTTTGGGACCCTCTTTGAAGAGTTTAGAATTGTCCTGATGTGAGTGGGACGTGCTACTAAACATGGACAACACTGGACAACATGGAAGGGATCTGTTGTGTTGAAGATATAATATTATTAATTATAATACCAATTATTATTAAACAAGTCTTATTTCAACATTTATTTTACTTCCCCCTTTTAAAAAGCTGGTTTAAACTAGCCAACATAAATATTTAATGTAAGACAATTTCAGTCATGTCATGATAACTGTTAAGTGACATGTCCACATGATCATCTCACTTAACAACCACAATCCTTTTTATTTCTTTCCAAGAATCTTTTCACTAGGCAAAACCACAAACCATACCCCAAATAAGCATTCAACTCAAGTGCCTCAAGGTTAATTCTTCTTATACCAAAGGTTGTTTGACTTTCTTCTACAAAAATCATAAACATCCTATTATTCAGCCTTACACTGTACATTTATTTAAAAAAAACCCAAAAACCATGCTAATAGACTGGATAATATTGCATGCATCTTAAAAGTTTTTTTACAAGTCTGTTTTACAAGTAGGAGTAGTACATGTCTTTCCGAAACACAGCATTGTAGTATTTTTGCTGTCTGCCAAGCTATCTTGTTTTCCTTTGTTTTGTTTTTAGAACAAATTACTTCAATACTTCCATTAAGGTAACAACCATCTTGCATGTGGCCAATGAATTACTACTATCATATGTACAAATTAGTTTCGATAAAATAGCCAAATTTATCCAAACAGAAGCATCTAAAAGCTGTGGGTAGAGCTAGCTCAAGACATTTTGTTTTGTCAAGTCAAAGAGAAAATAGCCTTCTCCTGTTACATCTCCAGAAGCTGATTAGATAGGGAGGTGGTTCTTGCTGTGTTGTTAGCAACACACGTAACACCTATCCTCCGCGAGCTGCATTGGTCTCCGGATACGCTTCAAGGCGCTAGTCGTCACTTATAAAGCCCTTCATGGTATTGGACCTGGGTACTTGAGAGACNATGTCCGGCCTTCACCCCCCAGACTCCCCCAGCGAGCGAATGCTGGCTGGGGAATTCTGGGAGTTGAAGTCCGGACATCTTCAAGTGGCCAAGGTTGAGAAACACTGGTCTAGAGTCTAGTCAATGAGAGACAATGAGCCAAAGCAGACAGATTTTCTGTCTTTAATTAAGCAGAACAGAAAGAGAAGCAGCAAGGAGGGGGAATGGGGGGGACAGAATGGCTGGAAAAACATTACATGCATGAAGGCTGCTTATGCGCATAGATAAGTATGTGTTTCACCCCTGTGTCCTTAGAGCTGTCCATGCAAAATCTCCTTTCGCTGCCATCTGTTCCAAAATCACCAGGAACTTCCTCAACGTTAGTGGAAGTTATTAATCTCCGTGACCCGACAAATGTGCGCGCAACAAAAGCACACTGACGAAACCACGAGAAAACCACAATGTCATAAATGCACCCACAACAACGCGCCCACAAAACCACACCCAAAAAAAGCGCGATTTAAGTTAAGGTAAGGGTTAGGTTCTGGGTTAGGGTTAGGGTTAGGGTTATTTGGTTGTTATTAGTTGTTCGTTGAAGGCGCGCTTTTGTCGGCGCGCTGTTGTTGGCGCGCTTCTGCGCTCATTCATCGGCGCAATTTCAAACTTGCAGTTTTCTCGCCACGGTTTTGTTGGCGCGGTTTCGTCGAGCGCACATTTGTCGGTGAACCATTAATCTCTTAATCTACCAACAGAAGGTCTATGGAGATTTCTCAGCCATCCAAAGGTGCTTTTTTCAAGAGGCCACCTGGACTTTCTGGTTTTTCTTTGAAGACATTTTGCTTCTCATCCCAGAAGCTTCTTCAGCTCTGGCTGGATGGGGGGGAATGGAAGGATTGATACTCCTGGCAGACAGTTGCATTTAAATCCTTCCATTCCCCTCCATCCCATCAGAGCTGAGGAAGCTCCTGGGATGCGAAGCAAAACGTCTTCAAAGAAAAACCAGAAAGTCCAGTTGCCTCTTGAAGAAAAAGCCCCTCTGGGACTCTCAGCCGAGGGGGAAACATTGTGCAGGAATGAAAAGGAGCGGAGCCACCAAGCTGGTCTTTGCAGGAGAGACTGCAGCCAAGAGATGATGGAGGGGGGGGGCGCTTCCCTTCTGCCCTCTCAGTGCAGAATAACAGAGTTGGAAGGGACCTTGGAGATCTTCTAGTCCAGCCCTTAACTCAAAAAAGAGGCCTCTCTCAGGGTCCAGCTGCTGGTGGGGCTGACCAGTGCTCCCCCCCCCCCCCGTGGATCCTGCCAAATGGGAATCTCAGCCTCCTCTTCCTCCTCTCCTGGAAGTAGCAGCCCCCCCCTCGGAGCCTGGAGCACATTCGGCCACAATTGAGCTTCTGTTGTAAAGAGAGACAGTTGGAAAGTGAGTTTTGTCCCATTTGAATGACCCTTCTTGCCACCATTGTTAAGTGAACCAATGCAGTCATTAAGTGGGTAACACGGCTGCAAAGTGAATCTGGCTTCCTGGTTGACTTTGCCCATCCGAAGGTGGGAAAAGAGGATCACGTGACCAGGGAGATACTGTAACGGTTGTAGGAATAGAACGGGACGGAAGGGAAAGGGAATCGGAGCAGAGGAGAATAGAATAGAAATTGGAATAGAACGGAACGGAATAGGTCAAAAGCCCCTTTTTTGAGGGCCGCTGTAACTTCGAACAGTCACTAAATGAACAGTTGTAAGTTGGGGACAACATTGCAACACTGATTCTTCCTCCTGCTTCCTCCTCCTCCCAGCCCCCAGCCCCATTTTGCCTGGTGCTGCAGGGGCTTCCCTGCGTCCGTCTGGCATTTGGGAACCCCAAGCGGACTCTCACCTCGGATGATGCCCCTGCAGTCCCTTTGAGGGGAGGGGGGGGCTCTCAGAGGGCCTGCGGAGGAGGGGGCACCTGCCTGGCAGCCTGACAGTTCAACAGGTAGGGCCCCTTCCCACCCCTTCCTTCTTTATCACCTCCATCCTCCTCCTTAGCTTTCAGTTGGGAAAAAGAGAAAAGCTGTGGAGCAAACATGGAAATGTGCCCAGGAGCCTCCAGACGGGGAGTGCTCACACACCCCCCCTTCCATGGGCTGCTGCTGCCCTCCGGCCCACTGAGCAGAAATTCCCAGGGGGGGGGCTCCATTGTGACCAGCCAAGCCTTGCAATTAGCTGAACTGAGGAGCAACAGCAGAGAAATTACAGAGCTTGAAGGAACCTCCGAGGTCTTCTAGTCTAACCCCCTGCTCAAGCAGGAGAGCCTATCCTATACTTTGGAATCGGGACTTTAACTGCCAGACTTGGCCTTCAAGGTTCCCACGGTTAGACTCCCTGCCCTGCACCGTTCCGGACCAGGAGCCGTCCAGGGAGAACCTCCAGGGCATTCGAGGCCTGTGGGGCGAGTCGACACCCCTCCCCAAAGCCGCCTTGGAGATTCTGCAAAGCGGGGAAGGGGATCCCCCGCCAGCAATGGGTCAGCGGGTCCACGCGAGACTCCCCCGCGCCTAGAGGCCGAGAGAGGCTGGTCCTTCTGCCCTACGCGGGGTGAGGTGGGGAGTCGAGGGATATCGGGGGGTCACCGCGCCCCTTTCGGGAAGGCACCGAGCCCTCCCCGCCCCTCCGCCCGGCCTCCGCTGACGTTTCCCCGCCGGACCCCGGGGCGCCGGAACCTTCCCCGCAGGAGTCATCGGGAAGCGCGGGGCGGGGCGAGGGGGTTTCCCAGCCCGGCCCTCCGGGGGGGAGGAAAGGGGGGACGCCGCACTTTTTGTCCCGGAGAGGAGTCGGAGGCGGCTCAGTCGCCCAGCATCGCCATGAGGTCCGGTCGATGCCCCCTGCTCCTCCTCCTCCTCTGGGCCGCCTTTGCCCTCTGGGCGCCTCTGCTCTCCGTCTGCAGCCTCTGTGAGTGGGGCGGGCGCTGGGGGAGGGACGGGGNGAACTGCAGTCAGCTGAAGTAGCCTGCAGTGCTGCATTTAACCACTGCGCCACCTCGGGAGGCTGCGATCTCTAAATTTATGTCATTTCAGGCAGACAACCTGGAGAGAAACTGCATCCCACTGAAGCGATGCCAGTCCTTCTCCACTCTCAAAGCCCGAAAGGGTGAATTTTGATCCGGAGTCACACTAAAATAGGAATGGGAAAAGCATGGCCAAAGTTTTAGATGTTGAGAATTGAATGTTTCCTGGAGGAAGCCGGAAGCGTCCCGGTGAGAACGGCTGGGGAAATAGCAATCTCCCAGGAGCTACGCGAAAACCAAGCCGGCAAATAATCTTCAGGAGGTCTCCGGACCAGAACCCTCCTGAAGGACGGTGAAGAAGGAGAGGCATTTCGGATGACCGCCAAGCAAGCTCCACAGCAGGTCGGAAAGAAGTTCTCCAGATCAACAGTGGGGGTGTCGGCCATCTTCTAATGGCCGCTCTGGAGCCAGGGCAACCGGAATAAGGTTGGAGCAGGAGCGGCGTTATGGATGGAGTGTTGGAACTGGAGAAAGATTGGCTGATCCAAGGGTAAAGGAATTTAAATTTGGAGCGTAATTTTTTTTTTTCCAAGAGCTTAAAAGCAGCAGCTAGAATTGAATGTTTCCAGTTAAGTTGCCTTCACTGAAGGTCGAGGAACTTTGGTTTCAGTAGAAGAGAATATTTGTACGAGCAAAGGTGAATCTATTACGTGTCCCAGGATAATGTTGTAGGATCCAAGGTGGGTCAGTCACTGGTCACAGAAATTTTGTCTTCCGAGCCTTTCGGATTCATGTTGGGAGAATCTCAGGGAGACACAGAAGTTCCCTGAGGATGGGCTCCAGCACAAGTCCGAAAGCTTAGAAGACAAAACCTCTGGTCCCTGTGACTGACCGTGATTGGATCCTGAAGAATAGTTGTGGCTGTGCACAGATGTTGCTCCCTAGTTTAGTAATGAAACATCTGCAAGAAAACAACCAGGCTCAGAGAGCACCAAGGACCCCACAGTTCTCCTTAAATGGTAGAGGATCTCCTGCTTGAGCAGGATTCTGCTTCCTCCTCCTCCTCCTCCTCCTCCTCCTCCTCCT